CAGTAACCGCCGTAGCGATTGTACTACGGAAGTGTGGCTGTGAGGGGGGAGTGTGGTTGGGTACACCGGGTCGCGGGATCTCCGTCGTGGGATCTTGTGCTGGGGTAGGGTGAAGTGCTTAGGTTTGAGTCCTGGGGCTTCACTTTCACCCCAGCCCACTTAGCCTTATGGTTAGGTGTTAGCCTGCTAAGCCGTTGGTTGTGTGTTCGAGTCTCGTATTCGTCACATGCTTTCGTGCAGTAACCGCCGTAGCAATTGTACTACGGAAGTGTGGCTGTGAGGGGGGAGTGTGGTTGGGTACAGCGGGTCGCGGGATCTCCGTCGTGGGATCTCCGTGCTGGGGTGGGGTGAAGTGCTTAGGTTTGAGTCCTGGGTTTTCACTTTCACCCCAGCCCACTTAGCCTTATGGTTAGGTGTTAGCCTGCTAAGTCGTTGGTCGTGTGTTCGACTCTCGTATTCGTCACATGCTTTCGCGCAGTATCCGCCGTAGCGATTGTACTACGGGAGTGTGGCTGTGAGGGGGGAGTGTGGTTGGGTACACCAGGTCGCGGGATCTCCGTCGTGGGATCTCCGTGCTGGGGTGGGGTGAATTGCTTAGGTTTGAGTCTTGGGGCTTCACTTTCACCGCAGCCCACTTTGCCTTATGGTTAGGTGTTAGCCTGCTAAGCCGTTGGTCGTGTGTTCGAGTCTCATATTCGTCACATGCTTTCGCGCAGTAACCGCTGTAGCGATTGTACTACGAAAGTGTGGCTGTGAGGGGGGAGTGCGGTTGGGTACACCGGGTCGCGGGATCTACGTCGTGGGATCTCCGTGCTGGGGTGGGGTGAAGTGCTTAGGTTTGAGTCCTGGGGTATCACTTTCACCCCAGCCCACTTAGCCTTATGGTTAGGTGTTAGCCTGCTAAGCCGTTCATCATGTGTTCGAGTCTCGTATTCGTCACATGCTTTCGCGCAGTAACCGCCGTAGCGATTGTACTACGGAAGTGTGGCTCTGAGGGGGGAGTGTGGTTGGGTACACCGGGTCGCGGGATCTCCGTCGTGGGATCTTCGTGTTGGGGTGGGGTGAACTGCTTAGGTTTGAGTCCTGGGGCTTCACTTTCACCCTAGCCCACTTAGCCTTATGGTTAGGTGTTAGCCTGCTAACCCGTTGGTCGTGTGGTCGAGTCTCGTATTCGTCACACACGTAACGTTGAGGGTTGCAGGGGGGAAAACACTCAAGTAGCGGAGGTAGGCCCGCGACACTTAGAACAACGGGGGAAAACACTCAAGTAGCAGGTAGGCCGGGACCACTCAAGTAGTGGTAGGAGTGTCGGGTACTGGAGGCCGAGCAGAAGAAGACAAAAAGTTGGCATTTTTAGAGGCCCAKTAGCGGTAGRATAGCGGTAGGCCRGTACCRGTCCAAGTAGCCCGGGTCTAGGGCCTGTACGGAAGATAGCAGAACCTGCAATGATGTTTCCCTTCGAAAGGGAGGACGTAACGGTTGCTGGGAGGCCGCTCGGCCTAGGAAGTCACCGCCCAGGAGGCCGGCAGGCCGCTATATCTCCAGGAAGAGCAAAGAGCTCTTCCTTATTTGCGGTGTGCAAGGATTGGCGACATGCTGCTAGAGCACAGTGCTGGAGGGTACATCGCTGCTTGGAGGTGATGGGCAGCTGGAGCTCAGCCTGGCTATGGCGAGCAATCCAACTTGAGGAGGAGGAAGAAGGGGGCAAGGTAGGAGAGTGGCAAGGCACCTACCTGGCTATGGTGGACACCGTCTTCAACACCTTGTTGGGCGCTGCATCTGGAAGGCCCCAGTTGGGGTAGTGTTGCACCAAGGAAGCTCGAGGCAGAGTCAGGCATGGCGGACCAGTCAGCAGCGGCATAGCTGCTTTGGGTTGTCCTTTGCACATCAACGCAGCACCATAGCTGTTTTGGGTTATCCTTTGGACATCAGCGCAGCACCATAGCTGCTTTGGGTTGTCCTTTGCACAGGAGGGCAGACCCCTCATTAATCCGCCATAGCCTATGCATGAGAGAGGAGGCTGAAGGAGGGAAGCCATAGCTATGGTGAACTTGTTGTTGTTGTTGTTATTATTGAGTTGAGTCAGCAGTAAGAGGGAACTTCAGATATTGATTCTGGTTCATCCATTCATTGTTAATATTATTGTTGGGAGAAGAATAAGATTGGCGAAGAAAAGGAGGAGGAGGAAGGTAGAGAGAGAAGGGGGAATTGTCATTGGTTTTGCTGGTGCACTTCTTCTTCTTCTTCTTCTTTATCTCTCCTCTGGTCTTTATCTCTTTGCAAGTGCTTTCATTTCTTTCGCAATTGGGTGGCATTGTCTTTCATTGTGAATTTGCACTTGGGAAATGACCAGGATCGTAACAATTGGTATCGGAGCGGACTTACTTGCTGGCGAGAGGTGCTAGTCACCCTAAACCTAATTTCGAATTAGGTCAGGGCTAACCTAATCTCGGATTAGTGTTAGGAAGTTAGGGTTAAGTGGGGCCGTGAGGTATGTGGATGCTGCCCCAACCTGGTTAGGTCATGTAGGGTCGACATTAGACCTGACCAGGTTGCTTGAGTGATTGGATGGGGTGGCGAGACACAAAGGAGATTGATTGGAGTAAGCGAGAGGGAGTAGAGAGTGAGAGGTACTCGTACCTGGAATCTGCACTTCAAGAAGACATTGAGTGACTTTTGGGCTTCCCCTCAAGAGGCAGGCTTGATCGGACGCTGCCATATCTGCATCAAATTGCTGCAAAAAAGTTGCTACTTTGGTCTTCAGACATCGACGGGGGATCTGGCTTTGCAACAGGGGTGTAGGAAGGCCCTCTTACTCATGCTAGGACACTTTGTGTAGTGGTAGCTAGGGGTCAGGAGGACTTATGAGAGAGGCGGGTGAGTCGTTATCCATCTTTGGAAGTCGGGCCTCACAGGTAAGTGTCGTGTGACCTGGTTATGCCCGTGGGAGGTTGCTTGGTACTTCCTGGCCTGTTGGGGTGTGTTGGGCTCTCTTCCTCTTCTCTGCGGTCTTGGTTGTGTGTGTGAGCATGTGGATTGCTTTCTCACCTGATGGATGGATGAATGATGTATCTGTTGTAAATGACATATCTTTCTACGGTGCAATGTCTTTTCATTTCTGAATGGCTGTAGGGGTAAGTTCTTGCTGAAAGTTGTCTTTTCCTTTTCAGTACGGTAGAGGCAGTTTGGGACTGACTTGGTACCCCTATCTCGTTGGTCCTGGTCCACGACCTACTTGGGACCCCTCGGGACCCAGTGGGACCAGGCCCAACGGGACAAGACCTTTTGGGCCCAAATCTGTTGCCGCCAGTGCTTCTCTTTGCTGTGCTGAACTTGGGGGACATACAGCTAGCAAGGACATTCCTTTCAAGGGGATCTTGACTGGTCTTACTGCATGTTAGCACATACTGCCCCGCGTCTGGCTCGGCGACCGTCTGCACCCCTCGAAATCTCCATTGCTGCAGTTAGTTTTCTTCGGCTGATTTATTGTGGTACATGTACCCTGTCAGGTTAGACAAGAGGGGATCTCCAGCTAATCTGATCAGGGCCCGTTCGATAAGTCAGTCTTCTCTTCCATTTTTTTTTTTTTCTTTTCTACTGCGTGTCATTCTCCAAGTCCAAATGTATTGCCGCTCCGGCTAGGAGTTCTACCTTCTACTCTGTGTAATTTACTGTTTGTTTCCTTCATCTGAACTATCTATGTCGGGTATTGAGACGCGTGCGCAGACAGCGGGAAGAGAGAGAAGGGAGAGAGAAGGTGTTCTTTTTGAGAGTGTGAGGAAGGGCAAGAGGAGTGTTCGTCCAAACGTGAGGAGAGAGCGGACCCCTCTTGAGAGATCTACTAACACCCCTTCCTCCGGCATGGCGGACATCACATCTGCCCAATGGCAGGCCATGCTGGACGCAGCAGACGAGAACGAGAAACCGTTCTTCCAAAAGTTTTATGATGATGTCGTGCAGAGGGAAAGGGAGGCAGAGGCAGCAGCCAGAGCCACAAGCATAGTTGATCAGGTGGCCCTCCTTCAGGTCCCGGAAACCAATGATGACCGGTTCCAGGAGAAGCTAGCTGCTGCCGTAGCAGTCTTGGTTCGACTGCGGAACTTGACAGCACTGGAGCAGCGGAACCAAGAGCAGCAGGATAAGATAGTCAGCCTCAAACAGTCCCAACTGTCTGCCCCCCGCCCTCCTAACCCTCGACCTGCTGCAGTCCCAGTCTCTCAATCTAACATAGTCCTCATGGCAAGAGCAAGTGGAACTGTGACAAGCGCAGAAACCGGTGTCAGCTCCTCAAGCGGCAACGCCGACAGTTCTGCACTAGTCATAGTCCCAAATGCAGGGACATCAGCCCAAAACGCCACAGTCCTTACTGACATACAGTACAGCGGTCCCGTAGTGGACAAGCGGGCGGCCATTTTGCCGTCCAAATACGACGGGAAAATGGATATCACCTCTTGGATTAGTTCCATGCGCTCATACTTCGAGGTTATGCGGACACCGCAGGAAGACCGAAGCATGATCATGGGCACTAATACTGAGCCAGCCGTACGAAATCACATTGAGCTCCAAGCTGTTGCTGCAGGTTATGAAGGAATTGACCTGACTGAGTGGCTGAAAGTAACCCCTTTACGCTCCCTTGAGGACCTTCTCATCGCACGGTACCAAGATAAGCACGCTGCCACGCTGCACTCAAGGCAAGACTGAAGCTTGAGGCCCTCAAGGGCCAAACATGGAGGACCTCCATGCAGGCTTTGGAACAACACTTGACTGGTCTGTTCACCACTCCAGACCTAGGGATGACCGACGTGTCTTGCATGGATGTAGTCATGGGAGTGGCCCCTAAAGAATACCTCTCCCTGTTAGCACTCAAAGACCATACCACCTGGCGAGAGCTCATGACGGATCTAGTCAACCTAGAGGTCAAGGACCTTGCCAGGCGCAAGAAGGCGCCCGCTACAGGTGGAAAACCACAACGCAAGCGGTATGAAAGCAGCAACCAGCTTGCCCTGCATAAACATCGGAAGACTGAAGATTAGTCCTACGCGGATGATCTGTCTCTAGATGATGATCTAGAGCCAGACTCCGATATGGGCTGTTCTACATCAACCATTGAGTCTGACGAAAACGAAGATGAAAAACTTAATGCTTTTAAAAAGACTGTTTCAAACAAGGGGCCTAACCGTGGTTCGGGTAGGGGAACTATTGCACACCTCCCCAAGAATGCGAAAATCCCTGAGAAACCGGAGGACTCTTCTACCAAGCCTTGGGAAGCCCTCCGTATCAGTCAGAAAAAATGGGAAAAAAGATTCAAACTGCGTGTATGCTTGCATTGCCAAAAGTCTGGGCATGCTGTGCAAGACTGTTATTGTCTACAGGGAAACAAGCAAAGGGCGTAGAAGAGTCATCAGCACTTGTGTTGTCCCCCGTACGTCGTACGGGGGGTCTCCGTACGGCCCGGATGTACGACCCCATATATATATATATTTTTTTTTTAACCTTTAGAAGGTTTTTTTACAAATCAAAAACAAAAAAGACGAGAAAGAAAAAAAAAAAAAAAAACTCGTAGCGGAAAAAAAACGGGCAGTTGCCCCGC